AACTGACCGATCCATTCTTTACACCCCCAACCACCTCCTTATCTCACAAACCTGACAATATCCACCAGCCTCCCCCCACCATCCCAGGGCTAGGTCCCAGGCAACTAGAGACTACGCCACACCCAAGCCTACTGGAACTATCTAAATTAGCCAATCCTAAATTATTTACTCTGCTTTGACTTTCTCCTCATTCCTATCCCTGTCTCCTGGTCCTGAGGTTTCTCTGTGGCCCTGTATAGTGTTAAATGTCCATGTCTCTTGAGAAATATAAAAAATAAATTCTTCTTTCAGTGGCATTGGTCTCTTTATATAAGCACTTTACCTTATCTCTAGCAATTAAATTCCAGGTGAAATTTGTCTTAGCTAAGATTGAACGGTAAAGGGAGAGGCAGTCCCGAGGGTTGAGTACTTTCTCTACTTATTAAGAAGGTTCAAAATGTTTCTAAATGGTCATTTTCCAGGGATGTGGCTGGGCACTGAGAAATGATGGCACATCAGAGTAACCCAACTTTCTCACCCACAGCTAGAGGCAGGGTGAGTGTGCGTGAATGTGCGTGAGTGTGTGTATATGTGTGTGAATGTAGGTGGGTGGGCGGAGCACTTTCAGGGCTATAGAGCTCAACATGCACCCTCAGCTCCCTCTGGGACCTGACACTTGAGAAGAGCCTAGACGGAGCAACTGTGCTGCCGGGTTTGAAGCCAGGGGCGATGGTTCCATGCTCAGGGCTTGTGATACGCTGCCCACAAATCCTGGAGAAGTTAGGGGTCAGGACAAGTCCTGCCATGGCAGCCAGGTCCAAAGTGTCATCTCCAATCATGCCCATCAGGCTGTGCCCTTGTGAGGCCTCAGCAGGCCACAGAGGTCTGTGGGAGCAGTGCTTATCTTGATATAGACTTTATTTGGGGGGTGCATTCAGAGCTGAGATTCAATCTTTTCCAGCAATTTACACCTGCTTTGCCCCTGCTGATTCTCTAAGTTTGTGAGTCTTTACCTGCCCTGAGCATCAATCACTTGCCTTCCAGTGGGATGGCAGAGGAGCAAGTGACTAGCTGCCACTGTACTTCAATCCCTATACCTGTGGCTTAAGTCATTAGAGGGATTTTAGAAGGGAATAAAATGCATTATCACCTCCACAATCACTTGGAACACTGCAGTCATATATCCAGTCCAGCTCATCACAGGACAGTAACAGGGCTAACAACTCAAGAGACAGGTGAGGTGTGGCTGGCTGGCACTGGTCTTGTTCTAGCTGCCCACCTTTGTGCCCAGTGAGAGGCTGGTCAAACTGTTCAGTGACCCCCAAGGAGGACATCAGGTCAGGAATTGGAAACAGCCTCCCCAGTTCCTTATTGCTCAAAGAACTCTTCATGTTCTCAAAAACCTGTTCATTTTTAGCCCTATCATGTTTCTTCTATTCTGGTGGATATCTCCCAATCTGCAGCAGAATCTATTCTCATTCTTGTGCCCAAAGGACAGTATTGCCTCTGCTATTACTCCTGTAGGGATACTCCCTTGAACTCCTATCTATCTATCTATCTATCTATCTATCTATCTATCTATCTATCCCTCATCTATCTATCCGCTATTTATTGGAATTGTACCCAAGGCTTTCACATTGAGCTATATCTAAAGCCATTTTAAATTTTTTATATTTTGAGACAGAGTCTTGCTAAATTGTGCAGGCTGAACTCCAACTTGCAATCCTCCTGCCTCGGCGCTGGGCTTATAGGCATGTGCCCCCATACCTGGTACACTGACTCCTCTTTACAGACAAAAACTGGGGAATTCCCACAGATAAGAATTATGCTTTCAATATCTACTGATCAAGAAAATACACAATGGCACAAAAGCACATTATGAAAGATAGATAAATAAGAAATAGAGAAAAGTTCAAATAGTTCCCCAAATCATCTATTCTGCTGTTTCATAAATATTTTAAGGTATATGCTAATTTGTTTCATTTATACAACTATCAGGTTTTCTTTTTTCAAACTCACAACCTCAGGCTTGCCAGGCAGGAGCTTATGCCACTGAGCTACATCCCCGGCCCTCATTTATACAACTTGTTTCTTTTGTTCATTGAAAGGAAAGTTTTGTCACTTTATTTGCTTATTTCTTCTTTGTAAGCTAGAATCTTTCTTTGTCTATGACTTGTATGCTGAGTAACGTCTTGGCCATTCTTTTCATATCACAATTATACAGTGTATTAGTTATTGTCATTCACTATTTTGTTGTGAAATTTTGATTTTTTTATAGAGGAAAAATATTTTATATATTTTTATTAATATCTACTTTAGGGGCTGGGGATTTAGCTCAGTGGCACAGCACCTGTCTGGCAAGTGCAAGGTCGTGAGTTCGATTCCCAGTACTGGAAACAAACAAACAAACAAACAAAAAATCTACTTTATCACATTAAAGTAAAATTTTAAAAGCACATTATGAGTTCTGTAACAGTCTTAGTGGTTCTGGATTTTATCAGCTGTGATGGCACTTATATACATTTGAAATCTATGTATGGGTTATGAGTGACACAATGTAGTTGGCTCTCTGTATCTGCCAGTTCTGTATCAGTGGATTCCAATGATGGAAAATATTTTAAAAAATTGCATCTGGGGCAACCCACTTTTCAGGTCTCCTTCTGTTTCTCTTTGACAAACACTAACTTTCCCTCACTAAATATATCCTGCTCTTAACCTCTGTTGTTCCTTAGAATTTATTCTTTGATTTTGGGGAACATGAACTCAGAGTATTAGACATCTAGCAGGTCAGGAATTACAATATTTCCCTTATATTTCTTGGATTTATTTTGAGGTCCCACCAAGATAATTGGATGGAAGTAAGAGTTTGCTTTTATTTCATAGATTCTGGCCCACTTTATACCCACCTCGTGATTTTGCTCTATGAAACTTCCCTCGAGAAGCGGGATCCACAGCAACTCGCTTTCTTGGTCTCCTTCTGTCTCTTTGACAGAAGCTATCTTTCCTCAATAAATATATCCTACTCTTAAAAGAAATTGCATCTGTACTGAAAAAACACACTTTTTTCATCATGATTCCCTAAACAATGTAATATAGCATCTATTAACATAGCATTTACATTGGATTAGGTATTACAAGTAATCTAGAGATGATTTAAACTATACAGGAGGATTTCATAGGTTATATGCAAATACTACACTATTTTATATAAGGGGCTTGATAAATAATCACCATATTTATGATACAGAATAGTTTCACCAACCCCATGTTCAGTCTGTGCTCCTAGGAAGTTAACTTGTTCCCCAGATTCTCAACCCCTAACTACTCATCTACTTTTTCTCACAATAACTTTACCTTTCTAGAACTTCACATCAGTGAAATCCTCCTCCTCCTCCTCTTCCTCTTTCTCCCTTTCCCTTCTCTTTATTTTCCTCATTCTTTTGCAGTCCTGGAGATTGAACCAAGGATCTCACACATGCTAGGCCAGTATTCTACCACTGAGCTATATTCCTCAGCCCTTTTAAAGAAGGCTTTGCCAAATATAAGATCACAAAGATTTTTCTCCTATAGATTGTATAATTTTAGCTTTTACATAAATGTCTATGATCTATTTTAAATTATTTTTTTATTATGGTCTGCTGTAAAGTTTGAGCTCATTATATTGCACGTGAATGCCTATTGCAAAAAATTATCCTTTCCTGGCTCTTTCACTGAAAATCAATTGACTATGTGAGTCTATTTCTGGACTCTGTTTTTCCATTGGTCTGTGTCTAGATACTGGAGCTTTCTACTTTCTTGAAATCAGGTATCTTTAAGTCTTCCAACTAGCTTTTTGTTTTGCTTTGATGTTTTGAGACAGGGTTTGGTTGTACAGTTCAGGCTGACCTTGAAATCATTATGTAGTTTATGCTAGCCTTGAACTCATGGTCCTCCTTTACCTAGCTGTTTCCATTCTGCTTCTGGGTCTGCTGCTAGCTTTCTTTCATGGGAAATGGATATAAATTTTGCTCAAGGCCCTGCATGGTGTCCTCAGTGCACAGTATTCTGATATGGAAAACTGGGCCCTCGCTCAGCCTCTACTATCTCCAGAACCAGTAGGTTCCTGCCATCAGTGGCATCTTGCTTTTGAGCCCCTGGCCTCGTGGACAGGGTTCTGGCATTGGAGAACACAAGCAATGTGCCCCTTCACCTCAGCCCCTCTAGTCAGAGGCCTCTCAAGTTTATTAGACTCCTTCAAAACCAGAAATAGGGGCCAGCTAGCAAGTTCATACTGTCTGAGCAGATGTCTAACCAAGGAATAAGAGGACAGCTTCTCTTTTATAGGCATCTAAAGAGCATTATGAAGATGGGCACATGGTAGTGCATGCCTGTAGTCCCAGAACTCTGGATGAGGCAGGAGGATTACAAGTTTGAGCCCAGGTTAGTAACTTAGTAAGACTCTGTCTCAAAAGAAAAAAGGGGATATAGTTCAGTGCCAAGGCCTTAGGTTCAATCCCCAATATTGAAAAAAAAAATTACAGTAATTCTCATAGAACTACTCTGTTGTAACACCAAGGCACCCTCTCCAGTTCATCCCCATAGGTTGCTGAGGGAAACTCCTATAGCACTTCCTCTGCCTCACCTGTGCCCAGTTGTCCAACTATGTAAGTCTAGGGTAGAGTGGTAGAAATGGGGTGGAGGGGCTGGCTCTGCAGCCCTACAGTGAGCTCTGGCTGCTTCTATATTAAGGATTCTCTTTACAGTGAGAGGCTAAATGCCTGTTGGTCCTCATCCTTTGTATCCTGACTCATAAATTCCAGGGTAACAGGAAAAGGCCCATTAAGCACTCCATTACACACAGTTCTAATAAAAACAGTAATAATAACACCGAAACCACTCATATGGTGCTTGCTGCAGTGCGTCTTCCTCTCTACTGTTATCAGCTTACTCACTCTTCACAACAGCTCAGCTTGTAAAGTAGGATCGTTAAACTTTCCCAGCTGAGGAAACTGAACACAAAAGAGGCAAATACCCAAGCTCACCGAGCTGATTCTGGGTGGAGTCCACACCTCCCCGGCACCGGAACCGCAAAGAAAACTGGATTCACAGCGGTTAGCTGCACAAAGGGAATGCGTTCGGCTGCGTGTTCTGTTGAAACGAAACAAGGCCAACGAAGGGAAAGGGCGTGAGAAGACACAGACCTGGGCGTGCTGGCTGCCTACGAACCCTCCTCCCCAGCACACATTTGGCGAAGGTGGTGGCGGAGTGCGAGCTCACACATTCTGACCCCGTGGCACCCGACTTCCCCTTCTACAGGGAATACAGCTGCCACGCACTGGGGTGTAGAAAGGGGGACACAGCCCCCTGCCCATGCACCCAAGGGCGCGCACAGCCACAAGGGCGGAATGTAGGACCGTTCCTTTTTTCCTCTCCAGCTACCCTGCCACTTGCCTGACCCGACCGGGACCTGCTCCCAAGGCGCAGCTGCAGGACCCAGGAGTCGCAAGAGCGGTCAAGGGGCAGTCAGCCGTGTGGCTGGCTACGGGAGCAGCTCCTCAGGTCCTCTTCTTGCACTTGCGGGGGTGGAAAAAAAAAGCCTAAACCGCAACTTTCCCCCAAGCTTCCACATCAGCTGCGAAGGAAGGAAGAAAATAGTTCTAATGTGGTCTGGGACTGAATACACAGGAGTTGGACGGCGGAAACAGCAGCAGTGGAGCTTCGAAACTACTCCCCGCCCCATCCCAAGTTCCTTAGTGCTCATCCACGCACTCAGTACCGTGGATAACTAAGATTTCTAATCGGAAGGTCTAGGTCCAGTGTGGCTTTGGGCCAGGCACGTCACACTCCTGGAGCTCTTTATTCCCACTGTGAAACAGAGAGGGCGCACAGTGTTGATCACTGCCAATTATTTAATGAAAGGAAACGAAATGCTGCCCTCGTGACTCGCAGCACGCGCTCGAGATGGGGGCTGCAGTCCAGCGCCAGGAAGGCTGGGGAGAGTTGTGACCAGGTGCCGAGAGAGCAGTAGGGGACCCAGGGGAAGCGAGGGGTGAGTTCTGCGAGGGAGGAGGGGGCGCTCGGCGCAGGTCCTGGCTGAGGAGATGACCTCTGAACTGGATTCAGAAGGATGAGGTGGGAGTGGGGTGCTCCTGAGAAAAGAGGTGCCTGAGAAAAGGAGATGCCTGCAGTGATCTAGGCACGGCCGCTAGACCTGTGTGGAGAGTATGGGGAGGCAAGAGGTGGCTCGGAGGGGGAGGCAGCAAAAGAGCATAGAGGGCTTTGAAAACCCCTTTCACCTGCATAATGAAATGCTCTTCTCTAGGCGTGGAACTGACTGGTGATTTGTGTTTTAATTAGGTCACTCTGGCTGGAACCAGACAGGAATCCTAACTGCACAAAGGGAACATCGGAGGAAGGAAGTTCATCTCATCCTCCCTGGAGGATGAGAGCCTGAGCCTGTGAGTGGAGTAGGGATGGAGAAGGAAATGCAATTTCAGAGTTAGAGACCATCAAGCTTCTGTGGCTTCAGGAAAGTGGAATGTGGGATGACCACCATGTTTGGAAAACTGGACCCTTGGTCACCACCACATGCTGCCTAGGGAGGCAGAGGTCTGCCTATGTTTGTTTGGACATCCTTGGTAATCATGAGGGCATTTAAGTGTCTACCAAGTGCAAACTTTGCACAGGCACTCAGCTCCCAAAGATTTAAAAAAAAAAAAAAGGGCTAGTCTCTGTCCTTGAGGTGTTTGTAGTTGAATGGGCCAAGTGGACACATGCTAGGTGGTTATATCCTTGTGGTGGAGAGATTTATGCGTCCCTACTTAGGGTAGAGCTAGGGTGGAGGCAGGGAGGGCTTCCTAGAGGATCTGGGGCTCTGGGAAATGGGAGCTCCCGGGTAGTATGGGCGAGGGCCCCTGCAGTCCCAGGGAATTTGTGATGTACTCCCTGGTGTGGAAATTGGGAAGTTTGAGTTTCAGTCTCTAAGGGAATAGGGAGCTATCGCTAGCAGAGAAGTCTGCTTCAAACTTGGGTCTGGATGGCTTATCCTGGTGCATTGCGGATTGCGGAAGACAGCTGTAAAGGAGAGAAGCTCACAGGAAGAGGTGGTGGTAGGAATATTGATGAGAGGGGTGGGGGCTGAATGTGGCAGGGGTAGTGGGAGCAGGAAGGTCATAGGGAGTTCAGGAAGGGGACTGATGTGAGGGCTGGGGGGCAGGGGGAGGATGTGAACTCCATCCGGCACAGTGGGCCACTGGGACACCTAGTGGAGATGCCTAATTGGACGGCAGTAGCTAGACCAGTGGTCTTGGGGTCACTCATTGAGGCTTAGTGATCTTGGCCCATATGAAAAATTGGAGTGATGGGGTCTGTTGTGTAATGTTGGGGGTGATTTGTCTGACAAATAGTTCACTGAGCACCTGCCAGTGTTGTAGATGTGGGGATACAGCTGGAGACAGCTGACTGCAGCAGCATGGAATACATGAAAAATGCGGGTTGAGCTAAAAATAAGGCACATAATTAGAAATCTGGCTAGCATCCATAACAATACACATGGAAAATGGGAAAGTGAGCAGCAAGTGAACATGCACCCCCCAACAGCAAGACAAGACACGGGATGGTTGTTTGCACGCCCTTTTAAATGCCAGGAATTGAACCCAGGGTCTCCCACATGCATGTGTTAGGCAAGTGCTTTACCGCTGAGCTGCACCTGGCCCCATGGGTGCTTCTGTTTGAATGTCCTTGGCTAAGCATGTTTAAATGACAGTTCGGGCACTCCAAACTCTTGTGCCAGTCCCATGGCTTCCAGGCCTCATCTGTGTGTTTTCAGACAAGGTGGAGAGCAAGCTGCCCACATGAGTCCAGCCCCCAGGATCCTCCACCCTGGGTCTCACAGGACCACCAGGGCTGGAATTGTCCTGCTCACCTCCAGCCCTCTCTTCTGGGTATTGATGCTCAAAACACAAAATAAATATGGTTGAAGGAATGTGTATTTGTTGGGTTGGTAAGTGTGGAACAGCAATTTTTATTATGTCTTAATAAACATAAAGTCTCTACTCTTCAGAATAGGTTAATTGTTTTGTAGTTGTGAAGAATGGGGCTTGATCCCAGCTACTTGGGAAGCTGAGGCAGGACAATCACTTGAGCCCATGAGTTTGAGAGCAACTTGGGTAACATAGTGAGATCTTATCTTAAAAAAAAAAAGAAGAAAAAAGAAAGAAAGGAAAAGAAAAGGAGAAAAGAATAGGAACTGGTGGAATCAGATGCCTTGCCAGAGGCCACACTGTTACCTAAAGACTTTTTTCTTTCACTGAGCTGTGGCTCACAAGTATTTCATAGCTGCAGTCAGATCAAAGTAATATGCAAATTTATATTTTTAATGAAGTAAATAAATAATCCTTTGCTCTGAGTTTATTTACAAATAAGCCTGGAGTTTTTATTCACAATTTTTAACCAACTTTAAAATCTTCACAGGCTAATAAAAAATACTGTTAATATCTACAGAATGCTTAGTAACCACAGTGCTCTGCATGTGTTTTTTTATTTATTTCTCACAACTTCCCATGAGTTAGGTGTGATCGTGATCGCCTCTCTTTTACCAACAGTCAGTTTGGGTAAGTTTAGATATAGGTGGATCAAAGCGGAGGAAGTTTGGGGTAGGGTGGGGTGAGGTTGGAGTAAGGTTGAGGCAAGGTAGAGTAAGATGAGGGCAGGTTGGGATAAAGTAAAGTTGGAATAACTTTGGGGTAAGGTGGAGTACGATGGAATAAACTTGTCCAAGGCCATTCATTCAGTGAGAGGCAGATGGAGGTTTTGAATTTACTAATCAGATCCGGAGCCTTAGCTCTTGAAGGCTAGGCATTGCCATTTATTTTATTTGTCTTTAAGACTTTGTCTGGACTGTGTCTTTGGGCACCTTTTATTACCCTTCTTTTTTTTTTTTTTTTTTGGTACTGGGAATCAAACTCAGGACCCTGTGCTTGCCAGGCAGGCGCTTGTGCCACTGAGCTACATCCCCAGCCCTTATTACCCTTCTTGTTCAAGTTCAAAAAAAGGCAGCTTTTCTCGTCCATTTGCCCTAAACACACATCTGCTGGAGGTTTGAGGGAACACAAATTGTGCTGCTTTGCACTGCTTGAGCAGCGGGAGTAATCGGTGTTGGCTTCGCCCTTCGGAAGGTAGCATAGTAGCTGGTGGAGGTGGCATCGCAATGTGGGCACCTGAGCATAGTTCAGAGGATGGCCCTCACTTCAGGTAAAGAAGGACCTGACATGTACACAGAGGATAACTTTTCTAAATTCAGTTTTGTTTGTTTCTGGAAAGTAGGGTATGGTAGCTCCTTTGGGTTTCTCAGACTCTGGCTTCTCCTGGGCAGGCAGAGGCCCATCTGCCTTGCTTGCCTGTCTTACTGAGCACCTTCTCCTTGGGGCTCTGGTTTCCGGGAGTCTCAGCCTGAATGTGGTAGAGATGGAGCTCAGCTGGCCAATTTGGCAGAGTCTGAGGCACCCTTGGAGGAGGGGATGAGGAAGAAGGAGGGCTGGCGAGGGAGCTGGTTGAGTGTGGGTGATGAAGTCTGTAGCCTCCTGTGCAGAAGAAGGACTGACTCTGCCATCCTTGATTTTCTCTGCACTAGATTTGGTGGAATGAGGCAGCTGGAAATGGTCATGTAATCTGGCTTGATAAGCAGTTGAGGCATTGGCTATAATACATTTCTGGATTTATTCTTGAGCTTTTTTTTTTTTTTGGTACCAGAACTTGAACTCACAACCTTGTACTTGCCAGGCAGGTGACACTGAGCTACATCCCCAGCCCCGATTGTTGAGGTTTAAAAAAACTTTTCAGCAACTTTTAAAATATTGACTATTAAAAACAGAACTCATTCCTTAAACTTAGTTTCCTTCAGCTGACGTTGTGCCTCTGCTTGTTGGAGTTTTGCCTGAGGTGACGCTGACATACCATGAGGCAGCCACAGCAGTGGCTGCCAAAAATAACAGCTGTGAAATGATTTGTGACGCTGTTCAGGAGAAACATATTTGTCCTTTTGCATTTTATGATCAGCAAGTGCTAGGAGTTGTTATTTATAAATGTGCTTTACTCCCCGCACTGTATTTCTTCACTTTGAGGTGGACACAGGAAGAATGCCGTCCGTGCTTTCCTTCAGGTAGGAGTCACGAATTCAGGTCCTCTGACCATG